TGATGAGTTTATCCAAGTGCCAATTTTCAGGACCACAGTTCATCCCAAGTTTGGGGGGGCCATGCCAGCCACTTCGGATACTTCAGTCCCGATCATTCTTACTTAGTTGCACTGATATACTCTTTCCTTTGTTCTCTTTGCACATTGAGGACATTGTGCCATTTAAGTTTGGGGGGAATGGTGCGTTACAGTGTTAGTTTTAAATTCAAAATTTTGAGCATGACTTGTGTATTTGAGGGATATTTCCATGATTGGTCCATATCTAGCTATGATTTTGATCTTTTGAGGACTATATTGTTTAAAATTTAAAAATTGCTTGACTTGAGAGTCCAATACTCCTTGTATGCCTTGTGGATGCCATTTAGGAGTAAATTTTTCGAAAGATTGATATCTTGCTTGCATTTGTGGTCCACATCATCTTGGTTTTGTGATTGTTTTGAGATTCATTCTAGGATTTTACACTAGCATCGGCGCATCCTAGCATTCATTTGTGGGGTACGTGCTTTGTTGATTATTGAATAGGTTATATCCCAATTGGGTTAGTAGTGCATTAAAAGCTTTCATTCTTGATAAAGGTGGATAATAACCCCTTTTCACTAAGTAGCCGGGATTCTAGCCTTATCAAACACTGAATTTCTCGCACCGAAAGATGGAGGGCCCAAACTCTAGGTTAATAATTCAATAAAAAAAAAAGAAAAAAAAGAAAAGAAAAAAGAAAGTTGTAAAAACAATAAAAAGTGAAGGCTTTTCCCAAAAGGTGAGAAGTGGGAAATGATTGATGGTTGTTGTTTTGATTTGTAGCTTAGTTAATTTGAGCTTGTAAGTCCGTAGGGTATTTGAATGCCTAATGCCCTAAAGCCGTCTGGTTTAGGAGTCATTGACCTAACGCTCGACCTCATTAATCGTTAGAAAGCTTAATAGATCAACACATTGCACCATACTTCCATCTTTGATCCTAAAAAAAAAAAAAAAAAAAAAAAATCGAGTGAAAAGAATAAGCGCACTTAGAACTATGAAGCTTTAATAAAGGGTCCACTTTTTGTCTTGATGATCGATACTAGATTTGTGTGCTAGTTTGAGGGTAAGGATGTGATTAATTCTTTAGTTGGCGAAGATAGCAACACATTTGATGCCTGTCCACTCAAAAGGATTCTAGAGTTGTTTTAATTTGCATGATCATTTTCTTGATGTGTGAAGGACCATATTAGTTTACTTGATGTTGAGATTTTGGGAGATTGCTTAGAAATATTTGAAAAATTGCATATTTGAGGTAGTTTTCTCCCAATGCTTGTTTGCAATATTGGTACCTCTTTTGAAAGAATGAGCTTAATGTTTGTGGGTACCATTTCTGGAAACCCTCACGAGATTTCACTCATCTACTAGGGGTAACCTAGGGATTTAAAAGGCTTGTTGTATATGCTAAGTGCAATCGTGTTCCCTACGAAAGTGGCGTTATCCATTTATTATTTTCTAGTTCATAGTTGTATAGTTGTTCATTTCATTCATTTACTTTCTAGTTCATTGCTAGGGACTAGCAATATTTAAGTTTGGGGGTGTGATGAGCGCTTAAAAGTGCATATTTAAACCACTTAAGCTTAGGCATTCTAGCACCTTTATCTATCTTACCTTACTGTTTTAGATTGATTTCGTATTATTTTCATTTTCAGGCACTTATCCCGAAAATAAGCTAACTCAGCCAAATAAGAGCTTAATTGAAGCAATTTTGGGATTAAACAAAGAAAGGAGCAAAGTGGAGAAAGAAGAAAGCAAATGAAGCCAAAGGTGGGAAGCAGCAAAGTTCGATCGATCTAAGCTCAAGGTTCGATCGATCGAACAATGATCGATCTCAGCACTTCAAGATAGATCCAAGCCTTGGCCCAAAAGCATAAAGTTCAAAAGTTCGATCGATCCAACACCACCCTTCGATTGATCGAACACTTTTGTCCTTATTCAAATGATTGATCCTACCCACAGCTATACCACCCACTAACCACTTTTGTCCTTTTCCCATAAATATCTCTCCAAAATATCTCAGATTTGTCTTTTCCCAAAAAGCTCAACCAGTTGGATCGATCCAAGTCTAAGGTTCGATCGATCGAACATCCTCCAGTGCGAAAAAGTTAAAATTCTAGTTTGTGCAATCTGTCCTCTATCCAATCATTAGGGAATATTGTGTGCACGACCCCAGCGCATTTTGTGTACCACTTGACCTACCTATAAAAGGAATGTAATGCACTTTTTGAGCATATAGACTATTCTAGGGTTTAATCTTTTGGAGAGGAAGTTGAGAGGAGGAGGAAGCTAGAGACACCATTGGAGACTCTTCATCAACCAATGAGCAAGCCTCTTCCATGGAGTTAGCCCTTGAGGGTTAGAGCAACATCACCATGAGTGGCTAGACATCCTCTTGGGGCTAGAGTTAGCCCCAAACATGCTTTCTATATCTTAATCTTATGTATTATTGAGGGATTAGTGTTGTAATTGATGTTTTGACACTTTGATATATATATAGATCTTGTTTATTCAATGATTTATGTGGTTTAATGCTTCCAATTGATCATTTCATTCTATTTATATGTCTATGTATGCTAGAATAGATGTTCATGTGTTTGTCTCTAGATTTTATGTTATTGATGCATGTCTATGTGTATTGAAGCTATAGATTTGGAGATTGTCAAAACATAGTGCTTAAATGAATGCTCTTGTGATTCTCTTGATGGTTCGTACTTATTCTTTGATGGATTGTGCCTCTCCCCTAGTTTATTTTCATGCTAGTAGTGTAGATGTAGTGTAGTTGTAGTGTAGTGTTAAGTAGGAGGACAATTCATGCTTATTGTTTGATGATCTAAGCTTTTGAATGCAAGTAGTATATGTCTCTAACCTTGTGTTGTATTTGGATTATGAGCTTAATGAAAGGATTAATGACTTGTTTTAATCTATTGTGCCTTTCACATGTTGTTTAGACAATATATGCTTCATTGCTTAGATATATTGTGCCTTTTACATGATGTTTAGACAATACATGCTTAACTAGTCATCCTTACTTATTGAATTAACCAAACACACACACACCAATATTGCAACACATTATTTGCCCTCGTTAATCACTTGTCAATGATATAGAAATGCATTACTTGGTGGTGATCTCTAATCCCCAAGATCTCTCTCTCTCTTACTCATTCTTAATTGCATTATTTTATTATCACTTAGTTTAATTTAGTTGCTCTCTAATCAACCAACCAACCAATTGTTTGATCACTCGACCTACTAGCCCTAATAACAATTCCACGACCTTGTTCGATCCTCACAATCCCTTGGGACGATCCCTACTCGCCCTAGCTATATTTATAGTGAAAAGGTAGTAGTGGCTTTTATAAATATAAAACTCTTGGCCCTCGCCTTAAAATTCACACTCTCAAGCTTATGGTAGGACGACGGACCAACACACCAACATCCATAGCATGGTATAATGATTATTAAAACTATAAACTACACATTATACTAGAATTCCCAACCAATGCTTCCATACTAGTTCATTTACATTGCTAAAACGAAGACTAGCATTTAAATCCTTCTCAATCCTTGACGGCATGCAAATTAATATTTAAATCTCATGATGTCTATTTAATCCTCAATCATAATTCCGACACCTAGTATAATGGCACTCAGAAGTCTAGACGGAGTACATTATATGAAGTCCCAAAAGTATTTTAATACTAGTTCGTTTAATTTGCTAGAACAACCACTAGTAATCAAACTTCCATATTTAGTGACAACATGTAATTTATTATTAAATTTCATGGAGTCCATTAACACAGTATAAACCAACATTCATGATCTTCATTAAATTATATATAAATATCATTTATATAAAATCTAAAACTTAACTCCCATTCCAGTCCATTTAGTTTGCTCAACAAACTAGAAACTAAATCATCCTCCTTACTTTGGTAGCATGCATAGATTTCTTTTAAAAAATTCATGATACCCCTTTCCAGATCATAAACCAATATTCATGGGTCTTTAAATATGTTATATATATTATTTTAAAACCCCCAACTAAACATGCATTATCTAATGATCCAATGTGTGCAGAGAGAATCCATAATGAAGAAGAGGCTAGGAGGAATTATGAACATGCTTTGTCTAATGAAGAGATCTTGGTTTCTCAAAAGGCTCGAATCAAATGGAAAAACAACCTTGATAGAAACTCAAAAAATTTTTATCAGAAAATCAAGGCTCACAGAGGTAACAATAATGTTACAGGTCTTACACAAGCTGATGGAACATTAGTGCAGGATGATAATGGTATTAAAGATTTGTTATTACAACATTACACTTCTCTGTTCTCTTCTAGAGAGCACGTTAATTCTCCTGATGCTGCCTTCATTTGAAGAACTCTTCTTGGGGAAGTTGCTGACAGCTTGGAAGCCAATATTTCTAGGGATGAAATCAAAGTGTTAATTCACAGTATGGGATTGGATACAGCCCCGGGGCCTGATGGTTTTACTGTGAGGTTTTTCAGGGAGTACTGGGGCATTGTTGGTGAAGATATTAATTCTGCTGTGTTGCATTTTTTTCAATGCTCAGTTATGGATAAAGGGCTTAAAAGCACCTTCATTACTCTTATTCCTAAGATAAAGGTAGCAAACAAGATTAGGGACTTTAGGCCTATTGCTCTTTGTAATGTCATCTATAAGATCATTACCAAATTGTTGGTTAATAGATTGAGTGTTGTTCTTGATCAAATTGTGGGTAAGGAACAAAATGCTTTTGTCAGTGGTAGGAAAATTCAGGATAATCTCATCATTGTTTCTGAATTATTGATAGGCTTTGGAGCTAAGCATACTCCTCCTACTTTAGCTTGAAAGGTGGATCTTCGAAAGGCTTATGACTCAGTTCAATGGGAGTTTCTGTTTAGTCTTCTACAGCTCTATGGCTTCAGAAATAAATGGATTGGTTGGGTTAAAGCAGTAGTGACAACTGTTCGATTTTCTATCATGGTGAATGAAAGTCCACATGGTTTCTTTCAACCTTCAAGAGGCCTTAGACAAGGTTGTCCACTTTCCCCTTTGCTTTTCACTTTGGTCACTGAATATTTATCTTCCATGTTTGAATTTGAGTATCTAAAGGGGAACTTAGTTGCTTCTCCTGCTGCTGTCAAGGCAAATTGTTTGGCCACTTACCAATTTTTTGCTGATGACTTACTTGTGGTTGTGAGAGCTAATATAGCTTCAGTATTCACTTTGCGAAGGATGATGAAACATTTTGAAGAAGTCTCTGGCCTGGCAGTTAATAAAGAAAAATCAGAAGTATATTTTACAAGGTCTGTTAAGAGGAAGAGTACTATGCTGAGAATTTTGGGATGCAGGCAGGGGTCTCTCCCTTTTACTTATTTAGGCCTTCCTATTTCTGACAGAGGAATTAGGAGGTTGGATTGTAAACCTTTGATGGATAAGGTTGTTGCTGCAACTACAAGATGGGCTGGTATGAACTTTTCAAGGGCAGGTCGCATTGAGTTATTAAGGGTTGTGGTTACTTCTATGGTTTTATACTGGTTTTCAGTTTACAGTATTCCTGCTGTTGTCATTAACTTAATTGAAAGAAAGATGATAAATTTTGCTTGGGGGCATAATGAGATCAACTTCAAGCTGCATAGCATGTGTTGGAAAAGAGTCACTTCTCCAAAATAGAAGGAGGTTTTGGTTTAAGGCAAATTAGTGACATTAATAAAGCTACAAAGTGTTCTTTAGCCTGGGACTTCCTTCTTTCGAAGGATAGGTTATGGGTAGCATGGTTCAACAAACACTATTTAACTAATACTTCCTACTGGTCTGTTATTCCAAAGGTTAATCATTCATCCATTTGGAAGAGTATTGTATCAGTCAGAGATACTCTTAAGGTGCAATGCTCTTATCGCATTGGCAATGATGATAAGATTAAAAATTTTATGGATCCATGGTGTGGGGGTCAATATTTATCAGAGGTTTTTAGTTATAGAACCTTGAGACAGGTATCCTCTAATAAGCAGATTGACTTGAGTAGTTTCATCTTTTAAAATCAGTGGCAGTTCGATGATGTTCCATTTGTTGTTCAACAATTTTTCCAACAATTCAGGATTCATGGTGGTGAGGACCAGTTATTATGGAATAATAAATCTTTTACATTCAAAGCTGCTTGGGACTCTTGCAGGGATTCAAAACCTGTAGTTTCTTGGTTTGGTTTGGTTTGGAATGGGGGTAGACCTCGATGGTCTGTGTATAGTGCTTTGATTATTCAAAATGCTGTCCTAATAGGTGCTAATTTACAGCGTAGAGGAATCTCTTTAGCTTTTAGATGTTGCTTGTGTGGCTGCAATGAAGAACATGTTGATCACATGTTTGTGAAATGTGTGTATGCTTGGGAGGTCTGGTGTGGCTTGGCTGGTATATTTCATTGGAGTGTTCAAAAGCTGAACTCTGTTAGCTCCTTCGCTGCTGACTTGCAAACTCAATTTTACATCAAATCTTGTAGGAACAAAGTGCATAAGATGTTGTTTACAGCTTCTATGTATTATTTATGGAATGAATAGAATGGTAGACTTCATACTGATGTTATTCGATCTCCTTAATTCCTAGTCAAATGCATTGTTTGGGATGCTCTTGAAATTGCTGGAATTAGTCTTCAAGATTTTTTAAGTTCATAGGAGTTTAAGGTTATTGCAGGTTTTGTCTGCTCTACCCTAGATGTGCTTGTGTGTCTTAGTGAAGAAATGTCTTCACTTTATTCTTGTACTATATTGTTTTATCTTATAATTTTTTTTCTTCATTTAGGGGAAAAAAAAAAAAAAAACCCCAACAAAACTTCAGTATTGCATTATAGCCCTTGCAGTCCGAAAAACCACAAAAAACCACGTACTGGGCATTTATGAAAGGTAGAGGATGCTCCAATTTTAGGTTGAGGAAGTTCCAATTTAAGTTGAGGAAGCTCCAATTTTAAGTAGAGCAGGCTGCACTCCTCTTGGAACCGCCTCTACAACATGTGGAGCCGGCTCCACTTCAATGGAGCCGTCTCCATTGAAGGGTGGAACCATCTCCACTCTCCCAGCCTCCATTTTTTCCTTCTCCGGCGTGTTCCAGATCCTCTGTCTTCCATTGCTAGGGTTCCTGAGTGTCTAAACTAGATCCCAACACATTCCCAACATGTATATTACACAGTATGCATCATAAATTTCAATTTAAAACATCTAATTATGTATCACAATTCAAGATTACACAATTTACATAAAACTGTTGTAATTTAAAATTGACATGGAATCTGGATCAGTTTTAAAAATAGCATGCAATCCAACTATCAATTTTAAAAGTTGAATTAATCCCTGGAGACTATAAAGAATGCACAGAACACAAGTTTACAGGAAGGAGATAAAATGAAACTTACCTTTAGGTTTCGGTTTGAAACTTTTCAACGTCATCTCTCAATTCTCCGACGACTACCGCCTACCGGCAAACCTCCTACTGCTCGGTTTCAATCCCACAAACCATCCTTTCCTTCCTCCTTGATACGTCCTTCAGTCCACGACTGAACTCCTAATTGGTTCTCTCAGTTTCCCTCTGTTTTTTTCCTCTCAAGAACCCCTCTGTTTTTCCTCTCATGAACCTTTACGTGAATAGGGTTTATTTTTCAACCCTAGCCGACATATACCATTCAATATATATAGGCATTTACTAAAACCTAATTCTAATTTCCAACTCATTATAAGTCGGTTACCCATGTGAATAATATGAAACCCTAAACTATTTATGACGTATACAATTTATAAACAGAAGACTAAACAACATAGTCCACCTAAACACATATGTAAAAATACAAATAAATCATATAAGCTATCAAATAAAATACGTCAATTCAATCGCCAATTAATCAGATAATAAATTTAAATAAATAATTAAACAATTAATTTAAAATAAATAAACAATTACAATAAATAATGAATTTAAATAAATACACATTTAACCAATTAAGCAAATAAGCACATAATTCAAAGAAAATTGAATATAAATTCTAACTTTATCCTTTTGAATATTAGGGGTATTACAACCGAGGACTAGGAATTCGAAGAGGATTCCAGTGGAGGAGATTTCAATATACCCAGGAAAGAGGGTATTGAATCTTACAAATCAAAGATCACGCGAGAGTGATATTTTTCGCTAATAGTATAGTGAACGATACTTGTAGAATTGGTGTAGATCGACCCACATATAGTTAACCTTTCATATTACCTTTAAAAGAGGTAAATAAATGGAACTCTTCATGCGTTTAGGATCGGATGGAGATCTTATCGGAACGCAGCAATGATATTATATCACGTTTCGGGGAATATAGGGATCAGCTTGTGACGTTCTAAGTTGCTTTATTAAGCTACATTAGACGGTTTGCATTCCGTGTATGAGGAGGATAAAGATTAGGCCTTTGGAATTTGCTAAGGCAAATGGATTCTGTTTTGAGCTATAGATTAAGCTTGTGTTTCGAGGTTGGTTGATTACCTTTGAAACTGGCAAAGGAGATTGTGAATCAATCAGGTAAAGTTGAGTTCTAAAAGAGATTTTCTTGCAAGGAGGAACGATGTTTTACGTTGATTTTATTGTATTTTATTATGTGTACATTATGTGTTTCCTTTTTGTTAATTATTCTAGATTGGGAATGTGGTTTAGTTGGGGACAGAAGTATGTGATCAACCAACTACCGTTTTGGAGGAATAGCGTTAATTACGCTAGGATTTTGGGTATGTGGTTATAGGATTTGGTAAGTATACCAACTTTTAACGAATCTAATGAACCTAGATATGCGTGGTTATTGTACGTTTTCAGGATGGGATAGATAAACCAGCAGTTCGAGTCAAATAATATAGATTCGTTTGATATACTTTAACACCACGATGATATATCGGAGATACTGACTTTGCTGAACATCTTCTTGAAAATTTCAAAAGTTGTTCCCTAGTCGACAGGAGGATTTTGTACTGGTTTAAGTACTTATTAGAATGACACCGACTGAGGATAGTCGACGGACTTAATTATTTATCTGTCTATCCTTAATTAAGAATTTGATTCTTGAGGGCGTGTCGTTCGGAAGAGTTGCTGGAGTTGTGATGCGACCCGAGCGTGTGCACAAAATAATGCACAACACTTTAGGTTTAAAATTAATGTCAAGTGGGCATCATATTTTATAATTTATAAAACCGCTAGACACTTATACTCTGAAGTATATAGTGAGTAGGGATCGAACCCAAGAGATTGAACACGTGTTGGGATTAAACTTGATTTTAGTGCTAATGAGATTGCACAAGAGAGAGAGAAAAAGATTTTTGGTGAACTGATTAAACTAGAAATCGAAAGCATGAAATAGAAATGACAATGCAAGTAAATTAAATTAAATTAAACTAAGAATTAAAGAGATATGAAGAGAGTCTTAGGGTTAGGATTCACCACTAAGCTCATGCAATTAACCATATGCTTTCAATTAATGGGGAATTCATTAGTGTAATTATAGATGTAGCCACATTATCATCACAAATCACTATTGTAAGCATAGATTATCAACATCAAGAATGAGTTGTCTACTTAATGACAATTAAACTAAAGTGTAGAACCCATTCAAGACTACGTCATAACCCACCATACACATTCACAAATGTATCAAATAAGAGCACACATCAATCAAGAGAATAATACTAATTGTAATTAGAAGCATGGATTAACATAATCAAGCACAAATTGCCTACTTAACTACAATTAACTAATAACAAGAAAGCTAATTTGTAGAACAACCCATCAAGATTAAGCCTTTATCCATCAAATTAATTGACAATTGTATAAAATAAGTATCATGTTATGGCCATCACTAAACACAACTACAAGAAGTATTTAATGTAGAATATAATCCTAAAGCAATCACACATAGACATGCAAATTATATATAGAATTAATGAAAGAATTAAGTTCTAATCATTTAATGAAGAATAAAATCCCTAATTAATCATACATAGACATACAATCAATTGGAGATTTCAATGGAAGAATTTATCAATACAAACCCTAATTTATCAAATCAAGCATGTATATATTAAGAAATCGCAAGGCCATACAATTTAATTACAACATAATAATTCCCCAAGAAAAGAAATACAAAGGTTAGGGTTATATGAACTTATGGCTCATCCAAGCCCTAAGTGAAGAACTAGCTCATGGAGGAGATGATCATGGTGTCAACAAGTCCTATCTCCATCTTTTGGCCCTTCTTCTTCTTCCTTCAACTGTAGACAAAGCCTCTGTAAAAAATATTCTTGAAACCCTCGCTTTTTTTCTTCCTTTCGTTTTCTTCCAGAGAGAACGATATCACGATACAGATTAAAAAATAATAATCAAAACTTAATTCTCCAAATAATAAATCACTAAACTAATAAATACTAACCCTAAAAACAATGGGCCTCATTGGGCTTAAGTAATAAACCTATTAATGCCCACTAGGTTACAAAATAAGCCCAAACATTAAAATAAAAATATGCAATGTTGTCAAGTCCTGGGGGATTGATCCCCCACCCTGGGGGATCGATCCCCCAGAGTTGGAAAATTCCTTTAAGCCTTATTCAGCTCCATTTTTGCCCCGGGCTATTTGGTTTGCTTCTCCATCTTTGGGAACATCATCAAAGGCCCGAGATTGACCGCTTTGTGTCATTTTCTGAAAATCTTTGCTTAACTCCAAAAAAGCTTAATTATACCGTTCTTAGCTCATTTTAACTTTATTGCCCTGAAATACACATAAACATAAATTAGGACTAAAACAAAAACTTAAGATAGATGCAAAGACTGAAATACCCTAGCTTAGGTGCTGAAATGTGCAACATTTAAGCACTTATCACACCCCCAAACTTAGATATTGCTAGTCCCTAGCAATGAACTACAACATGGAAATGAAACAAACATATATACAACTATGAACTAATTAAGCAAATAAAGATAACACCAATTTCGTAGGGATCATGGTTGCATTTAGCATATGCAACAAGCCTTTTAAACCCCTAGGTTACCCCTAGTGGACGAGTGAAGTCTCGTGAGGGTTTCCAGAAATGGTACCCACAAACATCAACAGCTCTTTCTTACTTGAGAAGTAACGACACATATCAAATAAGTGTTTAAAGTAGACTACTTCAAGTATGCAAATTTTTGCCATTTCTAACCTATTCTCAATATTTCAACATCAAGTAAGCAAAAATGGTCCTCCACACATCAAGCAAGTTAATCATGCAAATTGAATCAATTTTATCATCCTTTTTTAGTGAACCGGCATCAAAATGTGTTGCTATCCTAGCAAATCAAAGTAATGGCATAGCCTTACCCTCAAACTAGCATACAGATATAGTACCAGACATCAAGACATTGAATGAACCTTGTTATTCAATCAAACATTTTTTTTTTTTTTATTTGATTCCATCAATTTTATATAAATATATGCATGGCCATGTGCAATGTCCAAGTTCCTTAAGCTCTCTAATCACCCCATGTAACAAGCGTTGAGCCAACGACTCCCAAA